TCACTACACGGACTGCAGACCGTTAACGACAATCATTTGCCGTGACCTCCTAAAAATGTCCGGGTATGTATGTAACTCGGAATCCGCGGTCAATTTTGCGTTGGAATGACCTTCTCGGACAGTCTGGGTGCGTGACACGAGCCATGCTACCAGTCCGGCAGCTATCTAGATCATACGCCATTAGGCTTGGCTTGCCTCAATGCTTGGCTTGCTTGGCTTGCCTCAATTAGGCTTGGCGTTGCACACGAGCCAACGTCGCGGCGCACCGCCCAAGCTGTCCATAATGTGGGCAGCACAAGGCCGCAGGGGCGCAGAAGCTTCCCTTGCAGATGTCCTACACCGTGTTTTGGGGAGAGGCATACGCTATGACCCGTTCCCCTTCATGGGTCACTTGCAGGACAATTTTTAGGAGTTGTCATAAGATGCATCCTTGCCCTCCGCTTCTGCGTCAGTGGTCGAATGTCGCCCGTCACCATTCGTCGTGCTGTGGCCGCGTAAAAGTCTTCCGTCAGATTGGGCTGTAAAAGTCTGTCGTCAAATCATGCCTTGAAAGTCTGCCGTCAGATCGCGCCGTTAAGGTCTGCCGTCAGATCGCGCCGTAAAAGTCTGTCGTCAAATCATGCTGTAAAAGTCTATCGTCAAATCAAGCCGTGAAAGTCTGCCGTCTGATCACGACGTAAAAGTCTGTCGTCAAATCATGTCGTAAAAGTCTGTCGTCAAATCATGCCGTGAAAGTCTGCCGTCAGATCACGCCGTGAAGGTCTGCCGTCAGATCACGTCGTGAAGGTCTGCCGTCAGATGGCGCCGTGAGGCCGCGCCGCAAGGTCATGCCGCAAGGTCATTAAGGTGACGATCTGCCGGCCACGCGGCGGCAGCGGGCCGTGGCGAGCTGTCGGCACCAGCAAGCCCATCTGCGGAGACCCATTAGCCTCACGCTGAGGGGTCATGATTGGCGGCGGCCGGCGGATGGTACCGGCGTCACGCAGCTCCGCCGGGATCGGCGGCTGGCATCACGGGTCGCCGGACGGGGCGCCAGGTCTACATCGCAGCAGCCGCCGCTCAGCCAAACGACCCTCGCGGGCGCATCCGAGGCGGTACCACCGAACGGTAACCCTTATGTTGGTGGCTTTGGAAATCTGGCCGCATTAATCGACACAATGTTCAGAAATATGCACCAGGCAGTATGATATAGAAACTGGTTTCAAAACGGGTTTGAAAACATTTGTGATATGCTAAGCATATTATCGTCCATCAAAGTGTACGCTACGCTAAATTTCCCGCATGCATGGAAGTTTTATAAAACGTGAAACGTTTTCTGATTCGATAAATCTTCAGACTTATTCTATGTCAATGATTGTCTCTTATACTGTATGACGATTGTGGTCCATTTTTTGTTATAATCCTGTCAAACCGGTGGTAGGCTACACCGTAGGGGTGTCACATTCTGAAATCAGTTGAGGGGGTTGAGCCGATAACATTGACCCAACGTGCTCCTAAAATTTACTTTCTTTCCGGGTTTCGGCCGCTCATTTTAGGCTCTCACTGAAACCTCTCAAATTTTTGGAACGATTCCAAGATAATTTGTCTACGCACGAATGACTCCCCAATTCAAGGCGATGGTACATTGAGAAATTTTAAAGTCGTTAATACGGTGTAATATGGTAAATATGGTGTGATTCACAGAAATACATCTTATTAAAGCAACACCATCAAAGAAAACATGTTTCGTTTCTTGTTCATCAAAGGTTGTTTGAGGCGAAAGCAGACCCTTTTGTGCCCAGAATGGCGTTGTCTGATGCGTACACATTAAAGGACTGTTTTGTGTACACTGCCAAGATAAACCTATATATATATATATATATATATATATATATATATATATATATATTAATACCAACACTTAAGCACTTGATAGGTGATATAAGGAAAGAAGTCTTTGAGCTCGGGATGTTTCTATAGTGTGAGTAGGAATTTTTATGTCAAAAGCAGTCGATCCTCGATGTGCTAGGAGGTGCTGTGCATATGGCGCTATCAAACAGGCACTGGTTCTATTGAGAAAACTCAGCGTTTCAAAGCTGTGGCCATGTCAGATTTCGTCGTGAAAATCAATCTACAAGCACACCAATGCTTCTCTCATTAGGGAGCACGCAGTATAAATGTGCGACTCCATTCCTCGACATCCACTTTGGACTAGAACCAGGTGAAAGACACGGTTAAACTGCTCTTTAAACCCATTGCCGCCCATGTCATACTTTATTACAACAAAGCACGCCTCATAGCTTCTGAGGAAACAGTCCTTACACCTCAAATGTCTAGGGGGTTTTGCGTCGGTATTCTCTGGTACCCAATCGTGTAACTATAGTCATTAAAAATTTATTTTCTTTTCTGTGAGAATGATTATCGAGAGCGACGGGTGAAGTCTGCCGCTTATGCTGCAAGCCATCGGTCCTCGACTTAACAGCACAGTACGTTAACGGAGAAGTCGTGATAAGTTGAAACGAACATCTTATGTCACGTGCAACTCCCGTTTATAAATGACAAGCTGTGCAGACCGGTCGCAGACCAGGTCGCAGACGCAGATCCGAATGGTTTGCGCGGCCTTAGGGTGGTGCGGACTGTTAGCCCTGGTTGGTTCGCTCGGTTGGTCGTTTGTCCATGCTGGCTCCATCAGCCCTTAACACCTCAGCTTGTTCATCCGCGAGGGAGGTCTGCTGACGTCAACTGTTCTGCTGGCGCATGTGGCAATCAGCAGAAAGGAAAATAGGGACGGAAGAACGTAGCATATGGGATTTCGTGTAATCTCTAACCAGGGGCATTTTATGTATGAGAAACAAAACGCAGCGTTCGTGACCATTTTCACGAACACCTCGAAGTCGCACGTTTACGGAAAGCACACATATCACTTGGTGAACGTATGGTAGCCTGGCATGAATAACAGAAGCATAACAAATACCAACATTTAAGTACAAGTTTTAGCAACGGCAAAATGCAACGCAAACTCTAGGATACTACAATTGTTGCACATACCTCATCTTTGTCTAATGCTGAACAGTCAAATATCGTCTTGGAACTTGGTTCGGACAACGTTGTTTAGGCTATGTAGGTTAAGCAATAGTTGTCTATTATTTGTGATGAGCGCCACCGCCGCAAACAAGTTTTTATCCTTGAACGCGTAACAGGTCATCGAAGCCTTTTGACTCGCCTGGGTTTTGGACAGCATAGTACCATGTATAGGTGGCAGGGACTAGGAGCCCGAATGATTGGAATGTTTGCGATGCACGTGCAAGTTCTTGAAGTGTGTATCTATCGAACCTCATGCTCGCACATCATAAAAGCCTAGGACTTAGAACCATCAAAGCCTTAAAACCGGAAGCCTTCTACTAAATAAAGATGCCCCATGCGGTGCCGTCTCTTTCGTACCCGATGCATGTCTTCCTCGTGTGAATCTGTCAGCATTTGAAGACTGCTCTGACATACGAAAGAGTAGCTTGACAAAGCATAATAGCGCCTTTCACACTAGCATTATTGGACGGGGACCAAACGTCGATGTTATTTGATTGATAATCGGAATGCGCGAGAACTGGAATAGATAGAAGCGATACGCATGCAACGGGCCTATCAAAGCAGCCGGTAATTTTACTGTGAAAGTATTTTGTTCCATCATCTTGTACTTATTCGTTACTTCACTTCATGGCACTAAATAAGTTGGTCAGATGTGACCAAATCCATCAGTGCGAAATAATGAACAGGTACATATTGACGGAAAACCCGCTTGTAAAGCAGAATTACGATCTATTTTGTTAGACCGGACGGCAAACGATTGGTGTCACCCCTGTTTATCCCAATTTCAGTGCATTTCATATTTCGTGCAAAATTACGTCTCTGTCAGCAGCCTCGGACAGTGTCCTACAAATGGAAAAGTGGAGAGGCTATTCAGGTCTTACAGGATTCTTTGTGGTTGAAAAAAGCGTGAAATTGACAAGAATGGGTTCAGGCACCTGCGCACCAACAGGGAACTCTTTGCATTAACCCAGCTCAGGTTTCCCTTCTCGCCCTCATGCATTGAAGGGGCTTAGAGCAGAATAAGGGGAGCCTCAAGTCAGCATCGGGCGGTTGGGGCGAGTGGGGGGGTGGGGGGGAGGAGGGGCTCGGACAGCACCGGAAGTACATAAAGTGACGTCCTGCCACACAAACAGGTATTCTGGTGATGCCACCACATACAGAACAGCTGTGGCAGCTTAAGCTGAGACGTACATACGAAATGACGATTCCATCTAGTTAACATGCAATTTTGCAACTGTCGTATGTCTGTCGATGCATTTCAATCGCTGGCGTAATTTCGCAAAAATGACGCATTGTTCCAAAAAATTTCGCCAACAAACGGGTTTCTCCTCGGAGTTGGCCCGCTTTCTTGCTGGGGCTTCTGTCCCCCCTCCAACGGGGGAGGGGGGACAGAAGCCCCACCGCCCCCAACTGAGTACGAAATCTTACTCCCGGTGTTGATGCCATAAAGGTCGTGTGCTGTAATTGCCACTCAGAAGTGTCACAGGATGCCAGCTCACTGGCCTAGAGAGGTGTCGACGGGGTGATAGAAGGAAACGGGGAGTGCTGTCTTAGTCGGCTCAGGCATTCAAAGTGAGTTCATTGCTTTCAGATGTCAAACGTCAGTAACATCTGTGACATAAAGGGCCAACCGGTTATTGGTTGCAGCAAAAGCAATGTAAGCATGCTTCAACAGTATGGATAATGTTGCGTGGGATTCATAAGCATGAGTGTAGCCGTGTCCCAGAGATGTGGAGCTTATCAGAGCCAGCAGCGCGTGGTCTCACCCTACGTGTCATTTAAATCTTCGCAAACCCCGGGGCATAGCAGGTGTGGAATACGCCAGCCTCACGATAAGTATTGGTGGATGATAAAATCCCATTTCAGCAGACGTGATAATGACGTGACTCGCCAAACCTCTTGGCCACAGCCACGTCGACAAGCGCCTGCGCACTGACCGAGCTGTCCAGGCCGAGGGTGAGCAGCATCATGAAGAAGAGGATGGCCCAGAGGGTGGCGCATGGCATGGTGGCGATGGCTTGCGGATACACGACGAACACCAGGCCGGGACCTGCCGGCGGCGGCGCGGGTCACTGGAACGCCGACCGCAGAACACCAGAGCGGGGGGCTGCGGGGACCGGAGCGGGGGGCTGCGGGCACCGGAGCAGGGGGCTGCGGGCACCGGAGCAGGGGCCGCGGGCACCGGAGCGGGGGGCTGCGGGCACCGGAGCAGAGGACTGCGGGCACCAGAGAGAGAGAGAGAGAGAGAGAGAGAGAGAGAGAGAGAGAGAGAGAGAGAGAGAGAGAGAGGAGAGAGAGAGAGAGAGAGAGAGAGAGACTGTGGGAATCCGGAGCATGGGCCTGGGAGCACCGGAGCGGGGGACATGGGGGCACCGGAGAAAGGAACTGGGGCCACCAGAGCGGGTGACCGGAACACCGGCGCATGCAGCATGAACACAGGCAAATGGAGCTGGTACAAGAGATAAACGGGGTATCGGCTGGGATGGATTTCATGCGACTGGGATACTGCAAGGATACAGATAACCAAGATGACAACTCAAAATCCAGGAGACCCGGGAGATCGGCAGAAATACTGAAATGGAACACCACTTGGCGCATGTCTTATTTAAGCATGTTGGCAATAAGTGAACGGAAAACATGCTAGGCGGAGGTGGCGTAGGTCTAGCTTGTGAATGAGCGTCCGACTCACAGTCTACAGAGTTGCCCTCTCCCAGTTTGTGGAGATGCCCCCTTCCAGTACATGGAGTCGTCCGTCTCCAATTCCCTGGAGTTGCCCCAACCAGTCTGTCAAGTCGTCCCTCCCAGTCTGCTGAGTCGCCCATCCCAGTCTGTTGAGTCGTTTCATTCCCAGTTTGTGCAGTCGTCTTCTTTACATTCTGTGTAGTTGTTCTTTGCAGTAGTCTCGGCTAATTTAGCATCATTCACCATTTCGTGAAAAACGAGATTGTTGTTTGCGTTCCCTTCCAATCCCCTCGGGGACCTGCAGTTAAGCTAAGTACGATACCAATAATATATAAGTACTAATAATATATAAGTAATAAATGAATAAGTACGATATTCAAGGCGTGCCAAAGGACAATATGACAATAATTTTTCATGCCGCACAGACAGAGGAGTGTAGAAACATTTCTTGTGACTGGGACGTCAAATGCCTCTTACTCACCTTCTTGTGCTACCTTGTCTATCGGTTTTCCAGAAATGTGGGACATGTATCCGAGGACAGAGAAGATGACAAATCCGGCCACGAAGGAGGTACCGCAGTTGATCAAGCTGGTGATGATGGCGTCCCTGAAATCGCGCATGACCATGCAGTGTGAGCAGGTGTGCGTCACGACAGGCTTACGCCGCACTACTTGCTCAAAGCACCTGGTAAGAATGAAGGATGTACGTAACAGTAGTTTCGGTGGCTTGAAAGTGTGATTACGCAGCGCCGTTTTCGATGGTTGGTGCAAGACGGCAATTTGAAGATGTATTCTGATACTTTTTTGTCACATATGTCTTCAGCCTAAATGCTATTCCAGTGTACAAAATCAGCAAACTTATATGCATACGGGTAATTCAAGATCTTTGCACAACATGCTAAATTCATACCTCTAGATTGTGAAGGGTTCCATTCCTAGTAAAAGTGCACGCACGGCATTAGATTTTCACCGTGGCGTTGCCGCGTTACGAGCAGTGAGTCCATATCGCCATACACAGCCCCAGGCCTGCTGATGGTGGTTACCCGAGGCACGCGGCGCCGGCAGGGCCTCATGCTATTGCCGTTACGGACTGTCGTAGCGTTAGATTGGCCGCATTCAAATTCACGTCAGATGTCCTTGACATGCACTGACTTCTGATGCCGATAAAATTGGTCCCGAGTCGTCCTGATTGCCTGCCTGCGTGAGGTCTGACGGTGACCATTGGGTCGCGATCAAATGAGAGCAACGGAAGCTGATTTTGTAACTGGACGCCAGCTTTCCACTCCATTTTTTGAAGTATCGGCAACCACCCATGTACCTATGACCAGGAGTGCCTGTCCTGTCCATTCTTCGCGAAGGAAATGAATACGAGCATTCGAAATTTGAAGCTAGGAGGCTGCGTCACTCCCTCCTAAGCAGTGAAAAATAAGCTGATAAATCGACGAAATGCACACATAGAAAATATATTTAAGCGCTAGACGAAGCCCGCCGCGCAGTAGGATGTTGCCAAATGCCGTAAGTAATGATTATCATTTTGATATCTGGCGTATGTTGAAAGACCGACGACATAAATGAAGAGCTCAATACCAAAAATGATGACTGTAAGTCTATCTAGAGTTATACCCAAGTAAGCCCGCACGTTAAATGTAATGTTTGGTTCATCAAAGCTGCATGTTCTCGCAGGAAACAAAGAGGGTGTATTCTAGTCAATTTCGTGCAAGTATTGTTTCTTGCTTTCCTTAAGTTTTGTCTCGCTAAACTAATGAGCTCATTACGGAACGAACCAAGACAGTCAGATGCTACAATGCGTGGGCACGAAACGCGTAAAAGTGTGCAATAATGCGTAAGAAAGCTTGGTGATGTAACTAATTCTGCCTTACTTATAGACGTTGTTGTGGAACTTGTTGTATGACGCAAAAGCGAGGAGGACCCCAAAGCCTGGTCCAAGGGAGAAAAATATTTGCGTCGCTGCATCCACCCACACCTGAAAGAAGGATAAGTGTCTTGGTAAGTTTGAAACAAAAACCTGTTGAATGACCACTGTTGATCAATTTCATGCGATTTGTGTAAGTAGAATCAGGAATGTTGCGTTGTTACCATTCCCGTACTTGAAGGAGTGCAGTCATTTATAGCCAAAAGCGTGGTAAAGTGATAGTAGAATCTGATGGCATAGTTTTCCGCCATCTGATTCTTGTTGCCGAACTAAACAGAAATGCAAGACGCACAGTGCAATCCTATTATGCTATCTGATTGATGTCATAACGATATGCTGACAATATGGCAGGAGCGGGTGCTGCGACATGTGTCGATCTTGAACAAAGCACGTGACATAACTGGCTGATGTCAGGAGTGGCACTGCTGCTATATCTAGTTCTTGAAAATTAAGGCCTTCCACCTATGATTCAGTGCGCAAGGAGACGTCTAGTCCCACGACTTTTTAGATTTGGGCGTAACGTTTAACATACTTTTGATCATCTGTACGTTTACGTTCCTTTTAGTCAGAGCGGTAGGACGAATGTCGGACCTGGTTTTACCCGGCGCACGAGCGACAGACGAACATCGAACCCAGCTTCGGCCGGTGCGCACGAGCGACAGCCAAGTGCAGCCATATGTCCATGCCAGGAAGTTCGCCGGGAAATACGTCGCGTGGCTGCACGGCGCACTGGCGAGACCACAATGGGCATGCGATTTTGAGCGGGCATGTAATGTATGGGTGTCACAAATCACACCTTCTGAATACGGTCATTTAAATCCGGCCAGAGGCGAGGCGGCGGGATTTACCGTTCACGCCTAATGGATATCCGGTGTTTTCCGGTCGAGTTTAAGGGGCCCCGGTTCGGTCGCCGCTCTGCCGCTCTAATTTATGAAGACCCCATGCGGCCGTCGGTCGCGACGCCGGCTCGACCGCGAGGCGTGCCGGAGTCGATGTGAGATCAAAGACGCGCCGACGCCCATGTCATTAGCCTCGTCGAGCGCCGGGCTCGGCTAATAAAAACTGGCCGACGACCGAAAATCGGATGGCTGCAGGCTGGCAGGCGAGCTGGAGCGGAGCGGACGGCGGCTGTGGGGAGGTGTTGCTCGACGGCCGCTCACGCTGGTCTTGGTGAGCTTGGTGAAGTCGGGGTACAGGTAGTACTGGATGCCGTCGAGCGCGCCGGGCAGGGTGACGCCACGCACCAGGAGGATGCTGAGCACCACGTACGGGAACAGGGCCGTGAACCACACCACCTGCCAGCGACGCAGGGTCAAAGGTCAGCGCACGGTCGCCAGCGAGGCCCGACCCCGCTGTCAGGCGCGGCGAGAAATCGGTCACAAGGTCAAACGAACGCCGCACATGTTACGCAACCACTGGTGTGGCTGTGCGCGACCATATCTCATTCCACGGCAGATTGTGGGAATCACAGGCTGCTGGTGATACCAGGACATCCGACAATCCATCATTGGTAAACCAATTCTGCTTCCGCAGACAACTAGTGTTCTACGGTTGTAGCTAGATGCACGGGGAAAATACTATGTATGCTCTCGTTTGGGCGAAATTTGTGAACATTGTGAGTTTTAGGTCGTCGGTCCGTTACAACGCTTTGTCTTCAGATATTAGATGCACCGAACATGCCTTACATGTTTTGGTTATTTTAAAAATAAGTTGCGACCGTTGAGCATATGGATACCCGCCGAGATTGATTTCAATCATGCCGACTTTAGTAACCCTCCGCATCACAACCGCACTATTCTTCCACCTGACTTTCAGCGACTCGGACCGTGCAAGTCACACCACGCTTTTCACTACGTGTAGTTATTCACACCAAGACAGCTTGTACAGCAGCAGGGTCCCTACCTTCCCAGATGTCGCTATCCCTTTCCAAAGTGAAAAGTAGCAGATGAGGTACACAGCCAGCAGACATAGCGCCAGATCCCACTTGACTTCTCCCAAGTCTGTAATCCCGTTGCTCTTGTCGATTTCCAGCACGTTGTACCTAAGAAAGTTAGTACACATCAAACTCTTAGGAATCCCACACATTGTTCCGAACGGCGCTTAGACATCCCAGTCAGGAAACGCCATACAAAAGCTGCTGTCTAACCACCATATAATCCTTTTGAGCGCATGGTGATAGATTACTGTTGTGTATTTCGCAGTGAATCACCGTTACTTTTGCTTAAAAACACCTTCTATATTACTTAAAAAATAGTCATGCTTCCATTTCCTTCCCGAATCATTGGTGAAACTGAGGCAGCTTCATCAACTGGACTGGTCCGGTCTATTACACGGTATCAGCCGTATCAGCGACGCTGGCTGGCACGGTCAGAACGTCAATGAGGAAACAGAGCCGGACCCGAACCTCACTCACATCCAATATTCTTCAGCCGGCGAGGTCTGATTCATCTCCAGAACAGTCAAGTTGACGTTTTCATTTCTTGCAAGCATCGAAGAGTAGTTTGAGTATTTCTCCCCGACCTTAAAACACATGTCATATGTTGATTGCAAGTACTCTTAGCTTGAATAATGAATGAAGCATGCAGGTTCAAAGCTCATCAGTTTAGCATTCTTAAATGTACGTGGGCGTTCTAGTGTTGAATAACTCGCATAGTTTCATTTCGACTCCCTTTATCTCAAGCTGCAAATTAAGGACATTCTGCACTGTGCATATATTCTCAATTGCACAGTTAGTTGAAAAAGTCGAAATATAAGCGTGTGACTTTCTGAATTACTTAAGCAGTTTTCACTTCTTTCATGCGTCGCCCTCACCTCCACGCAGTTTTCCGTGTTCCATGTGTTATTGCAGTTGGTCCAAGGAAGCTCATACGCAAATGACGAAAAGAAATAGCGCAGCGACCATGCAAGTATCACGTTGTAAAATAGGTCTACGTAAGATGCAATAAGAACGACAGCGTAGCCGACCCCTGAAACAGATCAACTGAGTAAATATCTGACAAATGCACTGTATTATGACGTATCAATATCCCGTAAGACTGAGAGGCAACGGAGATCACAGCGAACCCAACAACACACAGCGGTCGACCTGTAAACTGTGGGTCTGCATACACAGGGAATGACCGGCCTGAACACTGAGGGTCTCCGTAGACGGAGATCGGCCACGCGGCCGTGGGTCTCCCGAGGCGGTGATTGACCAGAAGGCTGTGGGTCTCCATAGACGGAGATCGGCCACGCGGCTGTTGGACTCCAGAGGCGGTGATTGACCGGAAGGCCGTGGGTCTCCAGAGGCGGTGATTGGCCAGACGGCTGTTGGTCTTCAGAGGCGGTGATTGGCCAGACGGCTGTGGGTCCCCAGAGGCGGTGATTGGCCAGACGGATGTGGGTCTCTAGAGGCGGTGATTGGCCAGACGGCTGTGGGTCTCCAGAGGCGGTGATTGGCCAGACGGATGTGTGTCTTCAGAGGCGGTGATTGACCAGAAGGCTGTGGATCTCCAGAGGCGGTGATTGGCCAGGCGGCTGTGGGTCTCCAGAGACGGTGCTTGACCAGAAGGCTGTGGGTCTCCAGATGCGGCGATTGGCCAGACGGCTGTGGGTCTCCAGATGTGGTGATTGGCCAGACGGCTGTGGGTCTCCAGAGGCGGTGATTAGTCAAACGGCTGTGAGTCTCCAGAGGCGATGATTGGCCAGACGGCTGTTGGTCTCCAGACGCGATGATTGGTCAGACGGCTGTGGGTCTCCAGGGGCGGTGATTGGCCAGACGGCTGTTGGTCTCCAGAGGCGGCAATTGGCCGGACGGCTGTGGGTCTCCAGAGGAGGTGATTGGCCATACGGCTGTGGGTCTCCAGAGACGGTGATTGGCCAGACGGTTGTGGGTCCCCAGAGGCGGTGATTGGCCAGACGGCTGTTGGTCTCCAGAGGCTGGCTGGCAGTGGAGCTGGCTGGCGGTCAGCTCCACGCCGCGTGTAATTTGATTGGCAGGTAATGCTCCAGATGAAGGATGTAATCACATTGTCGATATTTAATCTGAGAGGCGGCCGTCCAGCTCGATGGATCCGACAGACAGACCAAGTGGTCGAGAGGGATGCCGACAAATGAGGTCGACCGCCGGCTGCGCGCCAGCGACGCTTGCCGCCCCGCCGGCGATTGGGTGACCTGCCCCGAGGCATTCCACCGGCCACTTGGTGAACTCGGGGTCAACGGAAATTTGAAAAAAAGAATGATGACAACGTCACCTGGTGCTCCTTGAAACTCGATTGTCAGTCGTTAAGATTTACGTAAATATACGCCACGGACACTGGAATCCAGCATTGGTTGTAAGGTCTCATGAGCTAGGATTTCATGTCTGAAATCAACTTTATGAATGCACGGGTTGATAATTCTGAGCACAGGATAGCCATTTGATGGCACGAATGCTGAAGCATCAGCCGCGTCGAGTTTGGCAATGCGAGAAGAGTGAGTGGCACTTTGATCGCCTCACCTTTGAAGAGGGGCACCAGGTTGCCCCAGCAGGTGATTGCCCCCTTACGATTGAACTGGCCAATGCAGAGTTCCATGAAGAAAAGTGGAATCCCGCCCAGCACCAGCATGATGGAGTAGGGCACCAGGAACGCCCCTGCCGGCGGACACAGGACTGTCGTCAGACCTCAGCAGCCAGCCGACTTACACTGGCACAGCCACTGAAGCACGCACACACGCACGCCGACGCCGGACAAGACGACAATCAGTATACAGAGGGTGCCGGTTCGTCTTGTTCGCTGAAGCAGCGCATGCTTACGGATGAATAACACCTTTTCCTATTCCAAAGGTGAAGCGTCCAGTTGGGTCCGTCCACCGTTTGTTGCTAGACTACTTGGCCCGTTGTGCTTGCTATCACGGCACCACAAGCTTGCATGTGTAAATACGTTTTAGACGGTTTTTTATGTAGCAGAAGGGGAAAAAGTCTTGCTGCGTCCGCCTACGCACAAATCCCTCTGAGGACGCGCATTTGGTAACACGCTGGTGCCAACGACCTTGACGTAATCCGTAATCTCTTTTCTAATAATTCACAGTCGCGCTCTAATTTATTTTCACATTGATTAACCACTGATGGCATTTGGGATTCTTGCAAAGGGTGCCTTCAGGCACGTCGCACCTGAATACGCCATTGACACATTACCCCCTAGGACTATCCTCGGGGGCATGACCTGGTTGCCCCTCGCGCCTGGATAGTCCTTGACGATTTACCGTGCCAGAACCAAAAACTGGCGAAACGCATTATGGCATAACGAATGCACGCATGGTAAAAGCTAAAAATTACATTTGAACCAGAAGACAACGACCAAAGGCTAGTGCTGCTAAGCTTAACGTGTGTTTTCGGTAAGCTTAAACTCTTAAAGCCATTAATGTGGGCATGACTGAGCGCAGAATGCAGGCCCGAGTTCAAGATGCATAGAATAACACTTACCGCGGCCTAGCACATTATTACAAGTTAGGGGTAAGACAAGCAGCGTAAATTCGGAACCTCCAGGACGTTTTTTTGTACTACAGTTTATAATGTAATCAGTAAGTTACATTGGCTTTTGCTCCGCATATCACATGTTAAATTGAACTCAACAATAGCACCATGAATTTCAGCCAGCTGACCAATTTGGTTGGCGCCGTGGCGATCCGCAAACTGCTGCCAGTCATCCTAATCCCTGCGTCATTTTTCGTCTCGCCCCGGGGGATGAAGCCGCTGCCCCGCCGACCGGCCTCGCCGCCTCGCGCTGTCCGCGGCCGCCAAATGTCCCCAGGCGCCAAGTCACGCCCTGGGTCCATTGACTGTGTCCGACGGCCGGGTCATTAGTGAACAATCTGCCTCTCCGTGGTGACATTCAGCGCAAATCAAGCGCGAGAATTCGAGCAGCGGGCGAGCTCAAGCGTCCAATGGGACGACTTTCGCAAAAATCATTGGGACTGAGCGGTGCGCTTTATAGTGCCCCTAAACTGTCGCTGTTGAAATTGAAAGGTATCGCTGAAAGGCAGATTGAGAAGTCCTTAAGGCTTCTATCCGTGCTTTACGCGGAATGACGTGTCTGATGACAGTTGCACTGAGGTAAAGTCAAGACGACAATAACCGTCGAGCACCCCGTAGCCTTAAATTGGTTGCTGAAATCAGTCGGCTGTCAAATAATGACTTTGCAAGCAAACAGAGGTGGATGGCTCATAACATAGCAAACTTCCGATCCGCTCCACTGTAGCATGGTTGAAGACACATTAAATGGTTTTTAAGAAATGAAATCTAGTTGCATGTCTCCATTTCATGTGTCCATTAAACTGGTGGTGGTTGCCGGAATTGCAGGCGTCCCTATCCCGACAAAGAGATGCGTGAGACAGGATAAAAAGCCCAGCCGGCTTAAGCCAAGCCCACTCAAACGCTGAAAGGCCAAGCGTGTCAGCCGGGCTGAACTGCAAAATGTCAGCGAGGACAACCTCTGCGCGTGCGCCAGTTTCCACGCACTAGTCGCATGAACTTCATCCCGGAAGGCATTGAAGGGCAATCGTTATAGATACGTAATACATATACGCCATCCTCGCTAATCAAAAAGCACCGAGAACTGAAAACTAATTTGAACTGAGAACTAATTTGCAAGCTGAACTGAGCTGGCCAGCAGGGCTGAGGTGCGTCGGAAAGCCTGATTGAGCCATTGCGTCCACTTACAGGTTCAGCTTTTGTCGGAGGGTCGCATCTGACGCTTTTGAAATCAGCCCGACGTCGATTGCAGGGGACTTCGCCAACTCTGCTGCTTGATGGCTCAGGGTCTAATCATACTGGCAGTCTCAGGGTCTAATCATAGGGACAGTCTCTGGGTTTAATCGTAGGGGCAGTCTCAGGGTCTAATTAATCATAGGGGCAATCTCAGGGTCTAATCATAGGGGTAGAGTATTCCAAACGGCAATCAATAGCCTATGACTTTGTTACCTACAACACGTCAAGTTGGACTCTAAAACATGACTGAAAACGTCACACGGAACGGTAGGTTGCGAAAAGCCATGAGAACCCTCAAGTTATTTGTACATTATTGAACCCTGTCGCACCCATAATATTGGTACCATAAGGCTTAAATCGGAATCGAACGAAATGCTCGATATCGGTTAGAAACATGCTGTCACAATAGGAGAAATTGGGCGTCTAAATCCAGTCAGGTCACAGTTAGGTTAGGCACCTAATGGTTTTTGTTTCTTCTGGGTCATTTGCCATGTTGAGGCCCTATCAGTCGTTATTGGCTCGGAAAATGTGTTCAAGGCGGCAGGAAGTATGCGATTTTGGTAGTTAAAAGTTGAACTCACATGACTTTTATCGGTGATCTGTGTGACCTCAAATTACATATTTGACCGTAACTAGCGAAAAATAAAAGCAATCGAACTGCTAAATGAAACCAATCCAAACCCCACAGAATACTTAAACACGCTTCCTGCATGGCAGACAACCGTGCGTTTCATGTCTGTGATTTGATCTGAATTTGAATTAAAAAGTGTGGGAAGGGTCATTACAAAGGTACAGGTATAGGCTGTGGCTAGAACGAGGCTGCGCTCCGGAGCGGATCCAGGATTTTGTAAAGGGGAGGGTCACGCAGCATTGTGGCACCCAGCACCAAGTATCATGACAGCTATGACATTTTGCCGCTACACCTCGTGATTTTCCGATAAGATAGAAAGTTGCATGAAGGCATTTAAGTACACCTAACAGTTAACACATGATTAGAACAAAAACTGACGACTTAAAACTACAGAAATAGATTCAGGCCGTAGAAATAAGCGATCGTTGCTAAATGTATCACAGAGTGGATTTGTACGCATCCCAAGCCCACAACACGAACATGTGGAGATGCAGTTTCAAAAAACAACTTTTCACGGCCGACGAGCCGGGTCGGATAACAACCCTTGAAGTTATTTGATCGATCTTTGGCTAGCAGCCGGCCAGCCGAGTGCAAAGTTTATGGATCTGAATGAGTGCTTATTATTTTGCGGTGCGAAATCGACGGAAAATTGATTTCGCAGGTTGCCGACCTTACAGTAAATGGCCCAAAGCAAAAGCAGAAACTTTTACAGAATATGGTGCGAATATTGTGATGTGGGTGGTGGCAACCAAAGGCGGCAAAGCCAGTGCAATTTTGAAGCTTTCTTGCTTTATATTTCCGTGCCAGTAAAACATAGTTTTGATGCACTGTCAGGCGTTGAACAGTTATTTATGTCTCGTTACATTGGAATGAACGAAATATTTTGCCGTACGTATAGATTATAGTGAAGGAGTAAATAGACCATAATAAGGAGAAAATATGTAAAAATTCGAGCTGTGTGAACAAAACGGGCGGAAGTAAAGTGAATATCATACATAAGCCACATATAAAAATGAAACGTATGAATTAACGCCGCTCAAAATTGTCCTAGAAATTTGTGTGCAAAAAATTATCAGAACATATACGGCTGCTGCTATTTGCACCTATTCCCCAACTGTTGGAACGGACGTTCCAGTTCCCAAGTGTATATGAGTCATTGCGTGACTTATACGAGGCATCGCTGGTCATCACTAACTCTCCGAACCAGATCCAACACACACGCCAATCGCTTAATGAACGTGGCTACGGCCGAACGGCTGGAACGCTGTCTAGCTACCTTTTCACCAGATGCTGCAGCGGGATGCAGCCCGGAAGCGAGCAACGCGTTATCTGTAGCATTGTCGGTGGCAAGGAACCGTCGCTGACGAAGCCTCTAGATGAGCTGGTAGGCCAGGCGAAAGAGCTGGTCACTTGTATCAGGAGAAAGACCTCCCACAAGATATGGACAGGAGACTCTGGTGGGTCCACGAGACTGCGGTGTTACAGGGGTGTGCGACGGCTCCTTTGCCTACGACCTGTTACCGAACATGAAATAAGATGTTCTAGGCATTGATGAACGCCAGTGGCGCTTGTGGTCACCATGACATGGCGATTCATGTGCCAAGGTCGCCTTTCAGTTCTTATGCTAGCGTTGCTGTTCATTATCAAAAGCAGTTTTGCCTCTGAGATGCTGTTATTGATATTTCCATTGATACTGAAATAGTGTTGCTCATACTACAATTGATACTAGCATAATGATAGTGTTGCTCTTTTGGGACACCGTTAATGGCACTGCCATTCATACTGGAATAAGAATGCTGACTGGAAGTTAGATACATCACCTGTGTGGTTGATTGTGAGATCTGACCACATTAGGAAACTTCCAACCAATCTCACGCATCCCCACAGTATCTTTGCTAAAATAAAAGCCGGCGTGCGAGTGGCTTTCAACGCATTTTGCATCAAATGTCCAACTATCTCGGGCCAGCACAGACTTTTCTTTGATTCAATTAAGTGATCCTGCAATGTTAAGAATTATGTTATTATCCATGGCGTATTTCTGCCTTGGATGTTGGTCATGCAGCTCAGATGTCTCTATGTAGTTTATATGTAAAAGACATTTGGCTGGCTGTCACCACTTGCTGCTGGGAGCACAGAAACTCCACGTCATACGACCATGCCTATTCGATTACTCTCAGCGGCATTCACAATACATCAAAGGCTAAAACCTGACCAGCGGGGATCGCCCCGAATACAATGTATACCGGGATTCCTC